ATTGGTTTTGAAAAAATATCAAAATAAAGCGATAGCTGTAGTTCTCATATTCATTGTTTTGTCAAATCTTCATTATATACGTCTGTATCGTATTTCATTTTATATCTAAATAAAATGTATATAAGACATCTATATTGAACAGCGTATATGCTTGTGAATATTTAATATAGACTCCTAGAATACATGAAAACTAATAGGAATAATCATGATAATACCTCACCTTAACTTTGAATTGAATGCTTCTTAGCTAAGCGCAAATCGATGATTCTTAGTTGTGTATACGGAATATAAATTCGCCAGTAAGAAAAAGATAAACCAGTCAGCTAGTTAATATTTAGGACACTTTCCAACATATTAAAAATTTCGTTTTAGACTCATTCGATAGAAAATATTCTGTTCTGCAAATTTACTGTCTTTGTTCTTCCAATAACTCTTGTTTTTTATTTCAGCACAAAATTTTAAATGGACGAGTACTTATTCTATTGTCTAATTGTGACAGTCAAAAAACGAACAATTTCTCTTAAATGTTTCGCTGAACTTTTCCACAAAATTCTGTATCCTTTGATGTATGTTTCAGAAGGAATCTTTGTGAGACAAAGATGTCAAAAAAAATGAAAAACCCTTTTCTGACAGAATTACATAATTTTTCTTTTCTGAATGTTTCAATTCTTCAATTCCACATCCGAATACTATAATGTCTGTTTAAAACTATTTTTCTTCTGGACAACAATAGCAAAAACCTTGAAAAGCTCGTAGAAGCAGATAGTACGAAATTTTCTATCCGTTGATGCCAAATACTTAACTTTTCAGATTGATTCTGATGAAGAAAGACTTAAAAAAATCGATAGAAACTTGCAAAATATCGAAAATCACAGTTAGACGAATGAGTGTGTGCTCATCTTCTAATTTTTGCGTCAACAAAAAAAAAACGATTATTTGAAAAACAAAGCCAGCTTTTTTGTAATGCAAAATATTCTCTATCGAATGATGCTAAAGCCATGTCTCTAACCTATTGAAACGTCTTCTAAAGATTGCAATAGTTTTTAAAACAATTTATTTTCTATATGCGCTCTCATTAATCTAATCTTTAAATATTAATTCTGAAATTTAATCATTTTACAAAAATATAATTAAATATAAGCAAAAGAAAATTTGAAACAATTTTATTTAACTCAAACTTGACACTATCTATCTTCTCAAATGAAAATTAACTAAACTTTGCAAAAGTTTATTATTTTTGTTTCTTATTTATCAAATGTGTGTTTATTCATTTCGAATCTTGATCTGTTCATTTAATGAACTATTATTTAATAAAAATGATATCATATAATAAGAAAAAGCATGCTCTTTCTAAGCTGAAAGTTAAGGATAGATAAGAGAGTCGATGAAACTGTACAGAGGAAAGGCAAGGGGCAAAAAGTACAATTTTTACCAATACGTCTTTATAGATATCTCTCTACGATTCAATTTCTTAAAGAAACTTTTCAATTTTAAATTAAACAATAACACATGATAAGTTCCTTTGATTTTCTGCATATATTTTCGCTACTAAATGAAACGATAATTTAAAAATGTAATCCTAAGAACTTTTATTTTCTTCATCTATGAAAAAATGTCAAACTAATGTATATTATTTGCAATGCTCAATATTAATTGATCAAATAAGAAGCGAATATAAAAATAATCCAAATATTCAACTTGTACTTTATCTTGAGTATAGTTAAAAATGCCTATTTATATTTATAAAGGTTTTGTTTTTAAAATACAAAAAGTTTTTGAAAAAATTTTCTTTCGAGTTCGACAGATGTGAATGCATTAGGAGGTGCAATTTTTAATATTTATTACGCATTTGAGATTTGGTATTTAAAAAAATTCGAATTTCGACACGAAAAACTGGATTACAAACTTTTCCCAAATCGTATTTTGAATTTTCTAATCGGGAAATTCTTTCAAAAAATGTTGACTGATATATCACTTAATGTAGCATTTAATTCTGTACAACATGGACGATTTATTTTTGACTTTTGTTCTCCAGAACAGATTGCATAGTTTTTAACTTATTGTGTCTTTAATGAGCTTCTCTTATGATGTAACAACTTAATTCTTGCTGAAAACGACTACACATGCAAGAAAAACCAATGTTCATAAAAATAAAATATTACCTGAGAATGTGAAATGCCTTAAAATCAATTGATAAAAACCTGTGTAACAGCGTTATATTAGCTCTTTTTTTTCTATTTTTTATTTGAGCAAAAAATCGGAGTTTTATCAGTAATATTGGAGAAAACGAATCGTCTTATGCAACAATGTTACGCGATGATAAAATATTTTTAGAAGTCTGAGTCTTCAATCAAAAAAAAGAAATTCTTATAGCATAAATAGAATATGACAAGCAGCGTCGGATAACGTTGGTAGAAATTTTTTACACTCACACTTCATTAATATACGTTATTAATGAATGTAAATGATGAAGAACGAATGGCTAAAGTTAATTATACCATTAATCATTTGTGTCAATGAGTTGGTTATTATAATAAAATGATTGCAATACAAGTTATAACAGCTGTGAAAAGATAATAATAAATTCTTCGAAATACAAGAGATTTTCGATCTCATCTACATAGAATACTGACATGAAAATTAAAAAAAACGAAGAAGATTCTAAAACTACATGTTTGAATACAGTAGTGATAGTCTTGCCAAAAAAAAAAGAATTTTTAATTAGTACTATCTGTCTTTCATTTCATTTGAATAATGTTCAGTAGACAAAAATTGTTCTACTAAATGTACAATTCTGTTACATATTAAATTTATCTTCAATATAATTATATAAATGCGAATACTCGGAATTAATGACAATTCATGTGATTTTATTTCTTTCATAAGACATTTTTATCATACTTTCTTACTATTAATCATATAAGTTAAAAAGATCTAATGATCTAGGTAAGAATCAAATAGTCTTTTGTATTCGAATGAGTTGTTTTTTTTTGTGTTAATTTTACATGCAACTTCCGTGAAAAAATATGGCGTACACTCAAAATGAAAATATTTTATATTACACAAGAACAGCAGACACTAAAAAAAATATAAAAATGAAGAAATAATCATTTTTATCTCTATGAAAGATGACATATGTGAGTATTATAAGTTTTTTTCAATCAATTAGTCATATGTTAATTTTTTTAACTTTTTCATGCATAATACTAAAAAATAAAGATGAAAAACATTTGTTGAAACGAAAATTCTTCTTGTTCAACTAAAGTTCAGCCTTATATAACTGATATTTCAGCTCTTGAAATAAAAAATTAGTCTCATCTAGGCACAATTCTTATCTAAAGTAGACGTTGCTCTTTAATTCTGCGGTAATACTATCTCTCATAACTTTGAGAAAAGTTTTATTGCTTGTCTATTGAATATCATTCTTTTATAATACAAAAAGATGCCTTAAATCATCCATGAATTGTTTGCATGCATAATCAGTATAACATCCAGTGGAGTCTTCTCGAAGATCTCTTATCAGATTTGACAGAAACAAGAACAGAATTGAAATAAACATGATATATACGTGAGATGAAAGATGATATCCTAGACAGAATTTAATATTAATCTTTTATCTTTGTTATACTATTGTAAATCTAGTACTAAGTGTTGAGTATGAGTAAAAGCAAGTCACATATTCATACAGAATAAAGTCTGAATATAGATGATGTGTCTTATACTTTTGTTGCTTGAGGAAATATCCATCTTTTCTACTTGTTCTAGGAAACATTTGGTAGAATTTGCGTCTCTGGTTCTTCATCCTATCAAAATTGCATCGATAGACTTTGGAAGAGAAAGACCAAGAGAATTTTAAAACACTAAATGAACATAAAACTTTATTTGTCTGAAATCGACTTATTTTGCTCTTCGGATGACTAATTTTTACTGAAAGTCCACTATTATTAACTCAACAATGTTTCTCTGATTTCTTGAAAATACAGCAAAAATGAATTGGTTTTCATATCGTTTCAGTCACTTTTGGTATTTGAGTTTATGACTGAATAGTTTCTCCTCATCATATTTCACTTGCAACTCCAAATCCTACTCTGATAAGTTGTCGAGTATACAAAAATAATATCATTCATCACATATTTCATCAACTAGGCTATTTATCTCGATAAGTCTCACAACTCCCGCTGAAACAAAAACCTTCTCATTTTCTTTTTTAAACAATCACTGTTATTGTCACTAATGCCCTTCACATAACGATGGGCCATGAAACGTAGGAGCAATTGCTATATTCAATGCCTATAATTTTCACAATAATTTTTCTTTTCTCGTCTTTACGTATTTTTTTGAAGAGAAAAAACGCTAAGGACGAACACATCACAGAAACAATCCTTGAATAACTTGAATAAAAAAGCATAATACAAAGGCGTCCTCGTTTTTCTCGACTGTCATCCAAAAGCTTCGATCAAGGTGTACTGTCTTATAATAGACGCATTTGGTAAGATTGTCTTGATAGATATTGACATTCTATTATTGCGATTCAATGCATCAAACATAATACTACATAGGTGAATAATTCTAAGATATTGATTACTGCTTTTAATGATGCGGAGTAAAAATAAACGATTGCCTTCATACTTGGTCATTTCATAAAACTCGAAAATATGAAGTTGTTTGTCTCTCTCGTATTATTGATCTGCATTATTCCCTGCGCCTTCTGCATTATTTGCTATGAAGGAGTGTCAAATTCCTCGATTACACCAACAACAATAGTAAATTCAAATACCAAAGACGCCTGTACGAACAATCGATGCGTTTGTACGAGTTATGCATTTATCTGTCAGGATCGAAATTTGGCTTGTACGTTAAAGGAGATATCAACACAAGCGTTGAAATGGTACTGGGAAATTCTAGTGAACTCGACATGTCAACAGTTAGTGACCATATCCTCGATCTATATGAATTTAATGTGTTGCTCTACGAATTTGTGTAATGATCGAAGTTCGTATATGAGACCATCATCAGATGATACAACTACCGAAGATGATACAGATACCATAATTGATGCAACTAGTGAAGATGATAAAATACCCAAAAATGATGCAACTAGTATAGTCAATACAAATATCGAAGATGATATAGCTACCATAATCGATGGGACTAGTGAAGATAGCACAATACTTGAAAATGATATAGTTACCATAGTGGAGGCAACTAGTGAAGATGGTACAAATACCAAAGATGATAAAAATACTGAAGATGGTACAAACACCCACACCCACACTGAACATGGCACAAATACCGATGATGGTACAAATACCGAAGACGGTACAAATGCCGAAGATGATACAAACACCCATACCCATACTGAAGATGGCACAAATACCGTTGACGGTACTAATGTCGAAGATGGTACAAACACCAAAGATGGTACAAATACCGAAGATAGTACAAATACCGAAGATGGTACAAATGCCAAAGATGGCACAAATACCGATGACGGTACAAATGTTGAAGATGGTACAAATACCGAAGATAGTACAAATACCGAAGATAGTACAAATACCGAAGATGGTACAAATGCCGAAGTTGGTACAAAAACCGAAGATGGTACAAATACCGATGACGGTACAAATGTTGAAGATGGTACAAACACCGAAGATGGTACAAATACCGAAGATGGTACAAATGCCGAAGATGGTACAAATACCGAAGATGGTACAAATACCGATGGCGGTACAATTGCCGAAGATGGTACAAACACCGAAGATGGTACAAATACCGAAGATGATACAAATACCGAAGATGATATGGCTGCCATAGCCGATGCAATTAGTAAAGATGGTACAACACTTGATGATGATACAATTACCGAAGATTACACAACTACTGAGGCCAGTACTACTACCAAGAGTAGTACAATTAACAAGGACACTGGAATTACTGAGATAACTATCAATGAGTCGGATGGTACTACTCATCCAAGTTTCTCTCCATATCTTTTTTTTGTGTCTTTGCTAATTTTTTTAATGTCGAAATAGAGTTTATTAGTTTATTTCACCGCTGATACCGATTTCTTTGAAATCTTCGTTTTAAAATGACCATAAAACTCGGGAAATATTGCTGATAGGAACTTTTTACAGTATCAGTGTGTCTTGTGGTTTCATGGTCATGAACTCTCGGATCTAATGATCACATAATTCAATATTAATAAGTCAAATGTATTCAGAAAACAGATCTTATTTTCGTTAAAATTCAATATATTGTGTTTTGTGAGTAAACATATACGAGATGTAACTGTTACAGTTACGCAGAATCATCAAACAACAACCGTTTTCTATCGAAAAGTGCAAAGATCGATAAACATGTAAGGACGTGATGAGCTGGTTGTGTATGTGAGGAATGAGAAGCTCCTCATTGACAGGTAATTTTGGTTTCGTTAGTAAGAAGAGAAACCAATGCAACGAGAGTATCACATGCAAGCGTGAATTATACCACAATATCTTTGCAAGTAAGGCCTAGCTAGACAATGATAATCAATTAAAGGAATTGTTCTATCATCGAATGAAAGAGAATGTTGTCGAATTGAAAATTTCGAGATATTTTGTCAAAGTGAAAAGATGTATGAACTACTCTCAAATTTTGATTTCATTTGAATTTACTGTTTCAACATTCCTCGTAATAACTAGCGAAGAGTAATGTTCTATTAACAATATTAGAGTCGATCTTTTTTCTAGAAAATGTTTTTTGACGGATACTATTCGAAATAGTTGTTGAAATCAAGTTTTCTTTTGTTTTTCAAATGAAATTCTCATTTGAACTTTTCTAATTTTAATCATGCAATATTCTCTTCTCTAAGTAGATTCATTGACTAATTAAAGATCATTCATAGTAAATTTTTGATAGATTCGACTTTCTCAGAAATTGAGTTAGGAAAAACTGAAACATTTTCAAATCATGATTAATCCTCGAACGATTTTATAGTTTCCACAAAAATTCAATGAAGCTTCTACAACACGAAAAAAACCAACATTAGTTTTTAGAAAATGATGTAAACAATGGCAAATATAGGGTTAGTGCTCAATCGCGCATATATAGCTCAGTTGACAGTGTTCAGAGGTTATCTTTCGCTGTAAGCTCCAGTAAATATGTGTATTACATGAAGTTCAGCTAGTACATTCTGGTTGGTCATAAAATGATGAAAAATAAGCAGTAAATTATTTTTGTATTGGTAATCAGAAATAATAAATATAGTATTTTTTCTATGAACATTTCTCAAGTTTTTGTTTGTTATTGTTTTTGAACTGTATGTTGGTCCTCATATATTGTTCGTGTGTTCAAAATTGGTTGTTTACTTTGAGACTTCTTCCCTATGGCAAAAATGTTCATTAGATGTAATTACACTTATACTAGAAAATTTTGTATATGTAGTTAAGTACATAAGAGCAATACCTTAGTACCTATGATACTACTTTTGTAGAAAGCCCGTCTTCTTTCAATATATATAAGAATAAAAAAGAGAAAATGATAATAGATTTTGTCAAAGATATCATCCTTTATTTTACACATATTTCACTTTTAGTTCGTTTCGATTCTCACTTTCACCTGATTTGAGACCTCTTCTTCAAAACATCTACCAATTGAGTATGCAAACAGACTCATGAATTATTTAAGAGTCATTTTAGTACAAAAATAATTGAATAGACATAAGCGATAACAGTTTTTTCAAGATCATCAGAGATAGTATTACTTCAGGGAAAAAACAACATCTTCCTCAGATAAAAATTTCGCCTAAACAAAGCTAATTTTAATATAAAGAGCAGCAATTTTGCTGCGACCAAGATTTTTTGTTCTTGCTCTTTTCTAACAGGTCATTAGCTACTCATGTACTTACTATCAGAAACGATTGACGATTTCTAGTTAGTGTTATGTCATCGTAAATTTCATCAGAACGAGCAAAACTTTGAAACTATTTTCTTTCTGGTTCATTGGAATTCTTTGTAATAAAGAATTCGAATTTGGGTAAAAGATACTATCTGCAATTGTTTATAGCTGAAACCAAAAATCGTAAGTGCTACCACTGGTTCTTATGTATGCCAATGGTCATGCAAATGAAAGTGCAGCATGAGTATGCTTCATAAAGGTGAAGTGATGTTTTTTCACTTCAGAAAAGATAAAATCGAAAGTATTTTTCTTTTCTTATAAATAATAAAATTTAAAAATAAGAATTCACAAAAGTAACTCATCATTATATATGCATCATATTTATCTATATTCTAACAATTAAATATTGAAAAAGAAAAATTATGATCATTTTAAATTTGAAAATATATTTTAATAACTTGTCAAATTTAAAAAATGATCATGAAAATTTCCAGTTGCAGAAAATAATTATTACTGAACATCACGATGAACCATTTGCAGTGACAATAAATAGTTATACTAATCATAATCAATCGAGTATAACTATAGTTAACGATAATGTTCAGAGCATTGATATTTTTTGTTCGAAATAGTTATGAAAACTTTTGACTACATATAACATTCTCAATGAAAAATATTTATGAACTTTTATTGTTTGCTTTCTATTCAATGAAATGTATCTTATAACAATTAACGGGACGAATAATGTATCAGAACTGATGATTTCTATTCATTTTGTTTTGTTTCTTCAACTGCTATTTTTAATATACGTATAATACATTAGATATTAAGCTTTTTCAAGTTAATGCCTTCAGCAGACGCAATTCGAATATATAGGATCGAGTTTTTTTTCTATTGTGATAAATATCTTTGCTTTCTGACTAGAAACTTCCAAGGTTAACATACAAAATTTATCTACAGAATTTATATTTTAGCATGAATCATTTTCATATATAATAATAAGGGATAGAGAAAGTCGGTAATTATGGTCACAAAACATGCATTGATATCTATTAGAGATCATATCAGCTCATTTTTGGATAGCTTATTGCTGAGAAAAATCGAAAAACCTTTCAGAAGATAGAAACAATTGTTCCTGATATTTCCCTCTTAAATCTCCTACTAAGATAAAGATCTATTTCATCTGAATAATTACCACTATTAATAACACTTTTGAAAAAACATTATAATCCTGATTAAATAACTTTTTTTTTCATGATGCACATGTAACGAATCATAATTATGTTCTATATTTATATGATATAGTTGTTGCTAGACACATTAATATAGTAGACATAATTAATACATCTCAAATTTTCCTAGTCATATCATAGACTCATATCATCATGAATGAACAATATGCTCTTATGTAATTAAAGCTTATGTCTCTCAATCGTAATAGTCAAAAAAAAAACTCAAACTAGTAATTTCAATTAACTTTTTTTTTTCATACATTTTACAAGTATTTCTTGTTTGGAGTAAACAATTGAAAAAAAAATGCTAACAAGAAAAAATAATACTCTTTCATGGAAGTCGAATCCTACACATTCTGCTAAGCATATGACAGTTGAATAAGGAAACGTATCAACCTTTTGTTGTCTCAAGAAACTACGTCATCACGACATGCGTCAGTCTTTACATAGTTACTGCACTTTTTTTTTAAATATTAAATTTAAATGTATTTGTTGCTATATTTTACTTTGAAAAATTTATTCATAATAAATTTCTCAATCGAATGAACGCCTCCATAGACATGTAATTTACATAAATAAATGTATGGAACGTAGTAATAAAATACATTTAGAAATTTTTAAAGAACAATATGATACTATTATTGAGCAAAAAATGTCAATTATTCCATATGAAAGCGCTATAGCATTGCTGCCTACTAGTCGATTATTTCTTCATTATTATAATTACACTCTTTATTATTATCGATTATCATTTTGAATAGTAAATTTTGTGTCCTAGTTCGACTAACGGTAACATTTTTTTTTAATAATTATTAGACGAAAAATTGCACCGAATGTGATTTATACCAGTAAACAAAACTTTTCATATATAAATAATTTATTAATGTTATATATACATCACAGAATTCCGCGTGATATGGGATGGAAGGAAACCAATTGTCTCATCCGACAAAAAATATTTGAGAAATATCTAATTTTTCTTTGTATCAACAAGGACTCAATTGTTTCGAAATAAAGATCTTGTCCACGATAAGATTATGAAATATAAAATGAAATCATTCTTTTTTTTAAATATTTGTCATGTATTTCAATTACGTAATTGGAAGAACAAAAATAGAATACAATGTAGATGAAAAGAAACGGTTAAGAGTAACAACAACTACTTTTCATAATGACTCATACGAGGACGTCAACGAACAGACAGGAACAACAAGAAACATTGACGAGCGTTAAATACTATGGGATGAAATATTTAAGACTTCCATCCCACATGAGACATTTCACGATTGCTCATATCATGGGACGATTTTTTTTCGTTCTATTCTATCCTATATGAAGTCCCGGCACGTAAAATAATATAGATCGAGTATAGTTTATTTTATTTGTTTGATTATCATGATCAACCTATTTATGAAATTGGTTAGTATTGGTTAGTATCGATTATTTTCGTTTGAATATATATATTAAAAATGAATATAGTTTTAGATAAGAAAAAAACAAAAGAAAAGATTTTTTTTTAACAAATTGAAGACAATTTTATTCTATAGAGAATAGAACTTAAAAGTAAAGAAAAAATTCCAATGAACTTGATGTTACATGAAAATCGATAGAACAAAAAAATTGAAGAATATCAAAGATTATTTTCTAGAATGTTAATGTGAAATCGAATTATGAAAAATTTCAAAATTTTAAGAGTATTGTCGGTTACTTCTATAGGTAGTCTGCTAAGAAAAAAAAACAAAGGATTGTAAAAAAATTTTTTTTTTACTAATTAGACTTCTTGAAGTTAGATATATTTTTATATTAATTCTTTAATAGAAATCATGATTTATTTTTACTGTCATTTATTATTTATAAATCATTTATGTTTACTTATAACAATTTCATAGATTGATAGAATTGAGAAGAACAAATATTTAAGAGTT